CTGTATCAACCGTGACCTTGGAACAGACGTCAGCGACACATGGACCGTAAATATCAGGCGGCCAATCAAAGCCAATAAACAAGGACGGCACCAGTAATATATCAGGAGAAATATTAGGTGCCCTTGTTTATGTACTCTGAAGACGGACCGAGTTTGGTCCGAAACGTCAGATGTCTCTAATTAAAGAACATTTTATGCGTGGTCTTCCCGTTTGTGACTATATATATATATCGTTTGTTATCGTTGATTTTCTAATCACTGGAGATGAAATTTAGTGCTCAGCTCGTAAATAACTTGCGCAACGCCTAGTGCCCAATCGCAGTCCTACACACAACTTGGAGTCAATAGCCGTTTCAGTTCAAAACTCCGCAACAATTAAGTTTCGTGTTGCATGGTGGAAATCCGTTCTTTAGAGCACGCATGTCGGATGATGTCTCTTTTATAGCATGTCCGTAAAGTCTCAACCTACTGGAAGTCCGGTAAGCTTGTGTCCTCGGAAAGCAGACGCATTGCCAGCAGAATAAGTAGTCATTTTTGTGGCCAGACTTCGAGGTCATCACCTTGAGCATAAACAAAACGTCCCTGGTTCATGATACCCGCAGCACTTTTGAATACCTGCTATATGGCATTCGCTGGTACGTCGTAGGAGGAATTAATCCTCTCTAAACGCAGATCTGTTTTTCCCTCGTTTCTCCATATTGGTCTACGTCAGTCGTTTTTCGGCTACCGCAAGACAAGATTCACAGGGTGGGGTGAATGGTGCGTTCTGAACTATTTGTCTAACAGTGGGAGTCACCTTTTCTTAATTTACACATCTATTGAGATTACCTGTGCGCTGAACAGAATTGAGTCATTCCTTACATGGTCCCTCCGTTTAATGGCCATTATGCACCGAAGCCAACGCTGCTGCTACAGTACAACAGCTGTTCTTGTTAAAATACCTGTTTCTATGCCGTATAACAATATTACTTGAGTTAGTGAGGACACGCGAATTTTCATGAATGATTATTCTCTCAGCCCAAACAATCCAAGGGGTTTCGAATGCACTCCAGGCTAGAGTGATTATCTTGTTGACTCCGACTGGATAGTGTCATCACTTGAGACGATGGAGCGGAAACCATTAAACCGGTCAACCTTCTGAAGCGTTTCACCTGTCTGTTCTACTTGTAGATCAGCGGTGACAGAGGATTCATCAGAACCTTTGACTTCTAGGGGTTGAGAAAAACGCGTTTTGTGCAGTTATGCCGTACGCGCAAGCTCTTAGGTGACACAGCTCGCTTACCATACTACTCATCAATACAATATCGTTTGCCTACTCTAGATAAACAGGAAATCTAGCCGGGAATTTCAACCGTACATTCGTCTCTGTCCGAATCAGTACTGTTTCAGAGAAGATAGTCGATAACAATGTTGAATAGCAAAGGCGATAAATCAGTTCCTTGGCGCACTCCACAGTTAACACGGAACCATTGAAACAGCTCTCCTTCAAAGTGAAATAGGCTGTGCGGTCAATTCTGTGATTTTTATTTTTCATCTTATTCAAGCTTCTATAGCGTCTTTTTACACCAGAAAACAACGGAAACCGGAACAGAGTCTCCGTAGTACTGGTCAACTCGGAAGAATAAATATTGTGCTAAGCTTTTCTTAGAACCGATCCGAAAGCGGTCGTTTGTTTACGACGATTTCATCAAATTTCATCTGCTTTTTATGCACCTACAGATGCACGATGCTTTGGGAAACGTCAATTGCTCACTCCGCCCAGAGGATCAGATGGCGTGACTAAAGGCGGAGCTATAGCCAAGAATGAGAAGCCTCAACCAATGCGTCCTGGAGCTACACAGTTCTACTGCTGGTATACATCGCACGATCGAAATGATCAATTGGAAACTGAGCGAAAGAAACCGGAACTCCTTTGCACCGACGGCAGAAGAATATCAGGTACAGTTTGCGCTTCTATCAATGCTTGCGGATGCTGAACAAAGTGAACAAACCAAGGAAACGGCACAGCCCACGGAGGAGAACCACAGGATATGGCAATTTATTAATAAAAAGAGGTCTGAGGTTATCTCGCACATCAGAGATTGACCTCCCGAATCACGCGACGACACAACTGCTGAGCAAATTGCAACCGTCACGGGAAAAATAGAATCATCGCACAAATTCAGCGGAAAAGTGTCAGTTCACTATGAACGATATGAAGCAGATCAAGAACAAAAGGCTCCACTGCGCATGACACTGCAGAAGATACCAGTGGGTATTAAAAAGACAGAAAAACCTATTGAACAACGAAACAATCTTTGCCAAACACAGAAAGTGAATAGGCGAAATCGTACGTCCGTAGGTTGGCTATGCGTTGAAGAATAGGTGGCTCATTAAAAAGTTTCTGAAACTTCGGACACCGATTTTAAGACAGTCCGGAAAGTTACGCATTACGGCATACGAAAGGCAAAAATTTGTTTGGTCCACACGAATTAAAGTATTTGACGCCCATAACATAGACCTCTACTGGCTCAGCATCATTTTTAGCTTATATTCTCAACGTTAAGACGTGCTAATGAATTTCAAGGAGTGTCAGACAATACTACTACCAGGGTATTCGCAAAACTTTACCATGCCTTTCACTGACAGAATGATCACAAGCGCCCCTGTGTTATGTAAGCAAAATAGAATAGAAGATAAAAAAGAATACACGAATAAGACTTTTCCTATACAGAATTCAAGAACGGGGTACTTGAGGAGTAGTAGGCCATCTAAATAGCTGGAAAGTTCACTAGATGTAGATCTGTTTGTGACAGTGAGATATTGCTTTTTCGTGATCGTCAGACCGTGGAGCATTCTAAGGAAAGAAAGGATGGAAATCATGTATCCATTGGCATATCGTTCTTTGCTACACTCAGGCGATTAGATCAGTTCCAGAACACTTGTGTTCATGATGTTGGTGCCGTAGCGTTGATGTCTGTGTCCATCCATGTCATCAACCAGGAATGCCTTAATTTTTATAAACAGAGTCTACCTGAGCTATGCGCAAAGATAGTCCATTTTTTCCTGCTACTTTCCAACTCTTTTATGAGAGTAATATTTATTTATTATCCTCAGCAGGAGGAAAAAAGAGTCATTCTATCAATCGCTGCAACCGATGACTTCTTGGTTCTGGGTCGGACGCTGTACCCTGTTGTAACACAATGTTTCAAATGTATGGCTTAACAAAGATTGTTCTCTGCTCGAATCGAACACGGCGCCTATGGGTTTCGAGATTCAACTTCCTATGCACTGCACCACTATGCCGTCGAGAAATCACTTCCTGCATGTCTGACATCATTGAATTAGAGAAAATGTAGCTGTGAATTTTACTGTTCCCTAGATGACGAACTGGTTACAACGCGAACAACATAACCACATTGAAAGACGGTCGTTATATACATATTTTTCCTAAATTGCACTGTGGCCGTTGATTAATTATCAGTTCGCATTAATTATTCCAATTCATAAACAGTTAATAGTTAAAATATGATGCATGCAGGAAACAAAATTTTAACCCACTGCATCGTTCCGTATGAAAGTTTGCAGAACATTGCTTATTCTGAATGGTTTAATTCTCTTAGCATTTAGTCTGTCTGTGTTTTATTTTTTAAGTGCGTGTATTTACTTGATTTGTGTATTTGTAACAGGCAACAAAGAGAATGATTTATTACTAGTGATTGCGAATTTACACCAAATATTCGTAAATTGATTGGTTGTAATGAAAAAATATCATTCTAAACATGAAGTTTTTCGTTGGTACATTATTGATCAAAACTGTATAAAATCACGGTTTTCTCATACTCAGCGCAAACAGGGTGGGTGGTCAGTCGGTAGATCAACTGTTTACAAACTCCAGGCAGCAGTCGTTACAGCAGCTGCGTTACAACGAACAAGCTTCGAAAATTAACCCGCTCTATCTTGAAGAAGCACAATGAGACACGCTGTTGTGTATGATTAAACTATTTTTTATACAATTTTCAGAAAACAATGTTTTATTTTCATGATACTTGAAAATCACGATGGTTTTTTATTATCTACAGTCAACACTTTTTGATGTTCTGTATCGTTTCCAGCTGCAGTTTGATTTTGTTATTTTCAGATGAGGCTAATTTATTTATATATGTTTATGGATTCGATATTTCTGTGGCTGACGGTTTATCAGAGCGGGACATTCGCTCCCCTACATTAGTGCTTGCGTATCGTTTAATGTTGTGTGAAAAGTGATTCATTCTTTGTGCTAGATTTGTCTGGGTTGTAAACAGATCGAGCCTGTGGCGAAGGCATTTGTGCGAACCGGTTGTTGCGCTGGCAGCGCAGTATTTTCGCCGATCGAGCGCAGGTTCTTGTCTGTTGATCACCGCAACCATCACTCTTCGAAGGTCTGCGTTGTGAAAGCCAATACAACCGCAAACATGTCGTATCCCCCTTATCCACCTTCTGATCCTGGATATGTGGTAAAATGTTGTTTACTTTTTGCGATCATCTTTTGACAATGCGCGGTTTAGAATCCGTCTTCGATCGGTTTACGTCCTGCCGATCACACTATCGGGTGGAATGTGCCCGGCGGCGCTGCCCCATCTGCAGTCGGTAGTGGTCAAGGACCGACACCCCAGGTTTACCCGTACTCTACTGGCCAGGATCAACAAACACCTGTTCGAACTTTAAGTTACAACCCAGGGGTATCCGCCGGAATGAAATCCGATGGAACTAACCTTCCGTACCCCGGTTCAAATGCAGCTCCTCAACCCAGTTATCCTGTCTATCCCGGTGGTGGATATGCGGGTGGTAACACCGGCGGATATCCGCAGGGTTATCCCCAGTTCGGTAGCTCCGAAAATGTGCCGACAAGACCGGTTGTTTATCCTGCACCTAGTTATCCGGGGGCCTATCCGGCAAGTAATGCGAGTACGGGTTATCCCCGTCAGCAGTTCAGTGATGGCCAAGGGCAATCGTATGGAGGAACACCACCAGTAAGTACCCAGCCTTATGGACAGGGGTCAATGAATCTGCCATACGGTGGCGCAGTTTCCAATTTGTCTTCTGTTGGGCAGCAACCATCGACTGTCCCATACGCTCCTGGCTCCGGATCCGCGCGTTACGGCCAGCAGTCGTATCAGTCTGGGGGATCAGGAAATCGAAGCACGTCAGGTTAGTCACTTTATACCGTTAATTGTCAGCGTAAAGTCAGATGTTCTACGTATGTTCATTAATCACGTGTCATCGAGTTTCACTGTATCGAACTTTGACCTCTCGATGTTACTGTCAAGAGCTCGATACCACAGTACTTTAATCGTTGTTGAAACTAGGCATTAGTACAGATGCTGAATTCATAGTACCTGTGTGTAAATTACGTAAATAATATGTCTGGCGCACGTAAGGATTAGATCAGTATTTATTGGAATATGTAGCATCATCATATAGCAGCAGTATCTATGAGACAGCATTTTTATTTTTATTATGTATATGCTATGCTGTAATTACATGAATACATTCATGTTATTGTAGTTCAGGGGGTACATGACACTGCAATATTTGTTTTTAAACATAATGATGCTGTATCATGTACGGCGGGCATGAATTCGTAAGCCGTCCAACATATTTGTAGTATATACTGCAATCCCTATTACTTCCTTTGAATATTTGTGTTCTGTTGTGCATATTTCGTAGTATTTTACATTTGAAGCTAATTATTGAACTCCATGTATTTTATTCTGTTGCTGTAGTATTATCTCTATGTCATATATTATGTAGCCTTTGAAGTAGTCACGCAACTTCAGTGCATCGTCCTATTACTTTCATGTATATTTGACCTTTTATATATGCAGTAAGGCGGAAGTAGCGGCTGCAAGCCGGGGTTGGAAAAGAAAGAAAAGCTGGTCACCGTTGGAATGTCGGTCTTCCTTCACTTTCATGATTGGGTTAATTTAGTGCTCTTTTTTTCATGAAGTTGCTGGTGCTGGGCTGATCTGCATTTCTATTCCATCAGCCAGGATTGCCTTTCATTTTTTTAAGGGCAGGGTCTGCAGCCATATGGCAAGCGATTAGTCTCCTGTTTTCTTCCCACAGAGTGATATTGATTAATCAACCTCAGAGAAAAATACGAGTTACCCCGATCGACGCATGGACCTGTGACCTTTCGTTTCTGAGATGGACGCTCTGCCGACGGAGCAACCCCGGTCTGACGTGAAAAATCCCCTGCACGAGGGAATTTGTAAATGAGACGAAGATCGCTCTTGAGCGGAATCGAACGCGGCATCTCCGGAGTTAGAGGCCGACCTCTTAAACAACTGTGTCACTGGGGTGCGATGAACGCCGAACTCTTCCATTTGCGTCAGGTCGTTCGTCACCCCTGTTTGCCTGGGTGCATTTAAGCAGACTATAGATCATTTAGCATATGCATTGCCGGATTCATTTGCTAGAACAGTATATTGGCGGTAATGAGCGGCGTTTTAGAAAACGGTACTCATTTATACTGTTGCATAACATCAAAATACGGGTTCGTGCGCTAATATTTAGGATATATTTTATGCAGATTAACTTGTTTTTGCCTAACTACTGTAATGTTAATTATCCAACAGTGATTATTCATGCATGTATTATAAAGTATAGTATACGCAGTTCGACACAAATGCGTGATATAGGGCTATAAAATCATTCGTTTAGGCACTGTATGAGGTACTGTGCTTTTTAAGCCATTTATTATTATTAGTTGCATATTTTTGAAATAGTTGTAGTCAGTACAAGTACATAATGCTATTATGAGAAGTGTATATACTATATACTGATTAGGTTTCTATATTGTTATCAGTCCACTACTTTTATGATTAATATTTTTTACAGATAGTTACATATCTGCCTAAATTACTACCTAAGAACCTAAAAGCATTGGGATATTGCCATAAGCTACTGCCGTTTTAAAGTTGTTTTTTTGTAAATATGGTATTGTATGTAGTGTATTTCTGCAGTACTACGTACGCTTTATGTACATACTGCTATTATAGTAATTGAGTCAGTAAATGAATCTTCTTCGTCACACTTTCCCGTTGCTTCTGCAAGTACAGATAAACTTTAAAGCTCGCCACGTTTCCACAAATTATAGTAGCTCCTGCGGAGCCCCTTAGGTCTTTTAATCTCGTACGTAATGTATACTAACAGTCTTCGTCGAACCTCCCAAAATGGCCTAATTCATCGTTATTGCTGAAAAAAGGCCTTGTGTATAATTGTAGCCAAGTTTCCTGCCGCTTATGTTATGCTTTTATTTTAAATTGCTTTGTTGTTATCTGTTTTATACATATTTGTGTATTATTGATTATCTATGATAAACGAAGCTTTCGAGCAATCGCCTTTTGTTTATCGAATCTGTAAAACAGAGTTAATCGTTTTCGATTTTAAATCACAGCGATTTTTTGAGGTTATCTGTTGTATGTTGCCCAGCATCCAACCCATCATCTTGTGTGGCGTTCGTCACAAAAAATTTTTTACCTGCAAGTGTGTTACTTAGAAAATTTTTTCCTTAAACAAGTTTTGTTTCTTAGTGTTTCAAATATCGCTTAGAAATGAGCTGTTTTATTATTCAGTCATTGTTGAAAAACACAGTTATCCTTTAGGGTTTTAAATCTTTTAACATTCCTACTTTAAGGCGTATGAAGCATGATATCTCGATCACATCACAGTCCTTCTGCCAATCGACTGCTTTACCTCGAAACTTATGTTCTTATGTTAATTTTTCGATTATCTTAGTTTATTTATGGTTATTCTATTTGCAGTTTTATTTCTTCTGTTTTGGACTCAATAAAATTTCTCATGCTGATTTTTCCCATTTTTTTCTGTCACGAATTCTTTTATTGCAAGTTTCATTATATTACTGTAATCAGGCTTTTTTCTGCTCATTTCAATATGTCTGTTATGCGATGTATCCCGTTTTAAGTTTTTGATGGTTCTGTGAAGACAATCCATAAGCCTGGCTAGAAATGGTTAGCTTCCTCTTTATTTTATAGGTATGTATGTTGGTCTCCAACTCCTAACCTCTCTTCCTTGTTGAAGTGATAAACATGTTGGCATTTCTGTTCTGATGCCGAATGATAGTTTCCTACGATTTCATTCCTCCTGACTCGAGAGAATCTACCATTTCTGAGCAAATTCCATCGGTCGTGGTTACAGGAGCGGACCTCACCAAAAATGTAACTAACTTCAGCTGGTCGCTGTTTATATAAACAGAAAGTTACATGGCCGGTCCCAAGCCCGGATGAGAAAGGAGGAGGGTTGGAGACCGTGGCAAGTCTGCGTAAAATTCA